GACCGGGACCAGCAACGGGATCGCAACCCTCGGTGTCGCTCCCCTGCCTCGCTCAGCCAGTGAGCGGGAACCGGTCTGTATGTGGGATCCGAACCCTCGGCGGGAGCACCGCCGCACTTCCCAAGCGGCGCACTACAGCAGTGCGCCACTGGGCTGGCCCATTACCAGTCATCTTTTAAAAAAAAAAAAAGAAAATGAGGTGCCCTGAAGTAGGCTCTCAGAGGTTTCCAGCAGCCCCCACAGAGAAAGAAGTGCAGGTCAGGGAATGTCCAGGAGCCCTGGAAGCTTCATTTGAATACAACAGGCACCTCATTCAATAGCAGTAGTAGTTGCAGCAGCAGCAGCAAGTCCATGGACTGAGCCAGGTCCTCAAAGCTGAGACTGAATCTTGGCACTGCCAACTTCTCTTGGAAAGATACCAAGCTGCAGCTGCTGCTTCTCAGATGCCTACCTATGGGAGCACGATGGGAATGTGCAGGGCGAGGCCTGACCACACTTTCCTCATCCTACATTCCCGGAACAGAGATGGGGGTAGGGAGAAGTTGGCTTGGAAGGAAGTGACACTGTCATGGGCATGGGATGTCATCACTTGACACTTTACTTGACCTTATGCCTTGGCTGTCCATTATAATTATTATTGAGCGCTCACAGTGTGCTAGGCACGGGGTGTGATCTCATAGAAAACTCGCAGCAAGCCCTGAGACCATACAGATGGTAAGTGCCAGAGTTGGGCCACAAACCCAGAGCCTGAGGAGCACCCAGATGGAAGGCAAGTAACTTACAAACATTGGTGAGCCCAGGCACCTCCTCCAAGCTACTTTCTCACTGGGTAGATCAGTACCTTGTTTGGAAGCTTTATTAGGAATCTCCATCTCTTCTTGAGGTTCAACTTGGCAATATTTCCTTTTCTTTTCCTGGCATTTGCCAGTCTTCATGGAGGCAGCTTCTGGAGAGACAGCATCCCCCTCCTGCTCTTCTTCTTTCTGGTCTTTCACATTGTCCACCTTTACTTTAGCAGGACTCATCAGGCTGCTGTCATCTCCCTGAGTTGCTGCTTCCTCCTGGCTAGAACAATGTGGGAGCTCTGGATTTTCCTGGATGAAGAAAGAGCCAAATACCAAAATCTACTTAGAATCAATATTGTCCTGTGATCTTCCTACCAAGAGAGGACAAAGAGAAAACTACATAGTCCTGATCCCCACCCCTGATCACTCAGTGGACACATAGCTCAACTGGGAGGCAGTCATCAGGTATATTTCCCAATTCCTGTCCACACAGCATCTGCAACAAAGGCATGCTCAACTTGGGTGGAGTTAGGGAACTTCCCTAGGCAAGGAAAGAAAGGCATGGAGGGGGAGAGGCTCCTTGGTCAGTGGTAAAGGGGAGAAATACAAGGGATAGCACCAATTCCCCCTCCTATCCAAATCATTTTCCAGTAACCACTTTAGGGAAACCAAGGCATGCAGTGAAAGTAGATCCTGTCACTAAGTACTTCCTCTCACGCTCACTGCCATTCATAGCTACTTGAAATCCCCAAACTCCATCTCCAAAAGGATTTTTGGTAAGGCTTTGGCACAGGTCTGTTCTTAGGCCTGCCAAGCCACCTCATGCTCCTGAGCTATATGTTATACTGGTCAAATGAACAAGGGGCAGGCCGGCCCGGTGGCGCACTGGATAGTGCGCCGCTTGGGAAGCGCGGCGGCGCTCCCGCCCGAGGGTTCGGATCCCACATACAGACCGGTTCCCGCTCACTGGCTGAGCGAGGTGCGGGAGCAACACCGAGGGCTGCGATCCCGTTGCCGGTCCCCGGTCCGGTACGGGGGCAACACTGAGGGTTGCGATCCGTTGCCGGACACGAAAAAAGACAAAAAGGAAAAAAAAAAAAAATGAACAAGGGGCAAGCTCTTTGTTTTACCAGATTTGGGGTGAAAAATCTGAAAAAGAGAAAAAATCATTTGGCAAAACGATCAATAGTGTCTCTAGCCTTTTAAAGTATATTTTTGTCCAGGAGAGGGACATTTGAAAATGAACCTAGAAATAAATCCAATGACAATGAGTTTATGCAGATTTACCTGGAGAACCCCTCTCTAATCTAAATCCATAGTCCACAAGTCAAAATGTTCACCTTGTTGTTTCCCCTCCAACTCCTACCAAAAAAATATATTGGTAGACAGATGAAAAAGGGGAAGACAGCTGGAAAACAATGAGGGGAGGAGAAAAGGGGTGTGGGTTTTCCTCAGTCTCTAATCTGGAGAGTTCAGGTTTTTTCTAGTACTATAGCAATACTACAATCTCGACCTTCCATGAGCCCAAGGCATGGTCCACACAGGAGTACACTGCTTTGCAAAGCAAAGTTTGGGTGGAAATCCAATTCCTGTTCCCCAGCTAGCTCACATTGGAAAGCCGGGCTGCTATATTTCCTCATTTTGGATTGAGCTGCAATTAGAAGTTACTCCGGGCCATTCGGTTCAGTATTAGCATTCCCAATCATGTAATAATGATCTGAAACAATTTTTAAAATGCACTAGGGGTTCTCTGATTTTTAAGCTGGGCACACCTATATCTGATTCCTTCTCCAGAGCAGGGAGAGAAGCTGGGAAAACGTGAGAGCCCAGAGCTTACATACAGGGGAATAATATTGGGCACAAAAGGAGGGGAAACTGCTCCCCAAAGGTTCCCAGATAGTCAGTGCTCAACTCTGCCTTCGAGTCTGCACTTCTGAGCCCCAGCTTCTGCCCATTTACTCTTTGCTGGGAAAGCCAGGGCCTGGAACCCATCTCTCTGTTTTCTGTTCCCTTGTTTTCAAGGAAAGGCACAAATACCTGTCTTTCTCCCATGAACTTCAAATCGACACTCTTCCCAAATCTCTTTCCTCTTCTCTGCTACAAATATGCATTGGAAGCCCATCCATATCTGCATGCCAGCTTATGTGTTAGGCATAGTGCAGGAAAATGAAATTACCTCCATTTGGGGATCAAATGGAGTTCTTTGCACAAAGATCTCGGCTGGTGCTCAAAGACCAGCAGCTTGAACAAACAAAAAGCAGGAAAGGAGGGGCTGTCAGGCCCTCTTCCCAGGCTCCGCCCCAAAGTCCATAAACCCACCCCAATTGTATGGCTCCAGGGGAAGTGGACCAATTCCTTTCTAGTTCTATGAAATCTCTCTCTCAGCTATAACTAAAAACAAATGTAATAAATAAATAAAGTCTGGGACCACGCCTGAAATTCCTGGCTGTATCTTTAGGAAGTAACCTTCCTAGCAAAGAATACAGCCACTAGACTCCAATTCTTCTTTCTCAGGAACCAAGTAGGGGAGGTAGGGCTCACTCCCCATGTTTGCCACAAAACAGCCAAACGAAGCGTCACGAGCGAGCTGGGTGAGTTGAGTTTTACCTGTGACAACTTTGGTAGATTATGGCTGGTGCCTTCAGTAGTCATTGACTCTACGTGTTCCTTTAATCTAGGGTGAGGTGCCAACAGCTTCAGGATATCAGGAGAATGTTCCTGAGAATCCCCCGGGACTGATGGTGAAAAGAAACTAAGGAGAAGCTGTGACATAAAACAGAAGACTTCACTACTTAAGTTTCTACAGGTGCTCAGGTGAAGGGGAAGGGGCAGGAGGGGTCAGGGGCACAGCTTAAAGGGTAAAACTCTAGGGAGGAAGCCTTGGACCAGCATCTCCTGACACACCAGGGCAGGGGTCCTCACTTCAGAGTGCATCAGAATCACCTGGGGAGCTTATAAAAAATCTGGGTTCCTAGTTCCCATTCCCATCTCCCCCAGGTCAGAAGTGTGGCCCCGGAATCTGGATTTTGAGAAGGCACTACAGATGCCTCTGTTACGTAGCCAAGATTAAGAGCCACCACTCTGGTGCTACTAATCCATGGAAGTTTCTACAGTGGGATTTAAAAACCCATCTAGGAGACAGAAAGGTAAAGTCAGGAGAGGAACTTCAACTGGGGAACCTGGAGTCATATCCATAACACCCCAGTGGGTAGAAGTCTACAAATATCTCCTAGATTCCTTGCTGTTTCTTTTCTCTGCCTACCCATTTTGCTTCCTCTTCCCCATCCCCCAACCCCCTGCCCCACCATCACCCCTGGATCTTTAATCCCTTCAGAACTAAGGACCTGAGCAGTGAAGTGTTAGGAAAAGCAGAACCCAAACTTCCTCCCTCTTCTCCCAGCCTCTCCTCCCTCATCCTGGCCTTCACTTTCCAGAGAATGCCAGGTTAAGTCCAAGTAGTGGGGGCAGGCAGGTTCCAGTCTATTGCTGGTTTCCCTTGCATTTGGATCAGCTGGGAGGTAGAATGAGAACCAGGAGGGACTGAGAGTCAAAAATATGTGTTCTAGTGCAAGCTGTACTATTAACTGCCCACATTCTTGCTTCAATTCTCCCCTGTGCCAGTAGGAATTATGCATGTGTGTGTAACATGTAACACAAGGAGGGCAGGTCACTTGGCTTCTAAAACATACTCAAATGTTTACTACCTAACAGCCCCTGCAGTGTGTGGAGACCCATTAAAGGATGCTCCACCCCCTTGTTCAGGGTATTAATTGATCAAAGGAATTTGACAGAACACCAAACTCCACTTTGATTTATTCTCTTGTTGGTCGCCAGCAGTTTCTTCATGGTGTTCCTTCCGATGCCAGTACTTGCCATGTAACCAAACCCTGCTCAGCCTTCAAAGCTCAGCTCAAGTGCTGCCTTCCCTCACTAGTCCAGTCTCCATGATCTCTCCTGCACTTTCATGTTCTCTACTGTACCACAATACAGCATCTTAAACTACACCATCTTATGTTACCCTGGACTTGTGTCACAGATGTAAGTCTTTCTCTCCAGCCAAATGGCTGGCTTCTGGAAGGCACATAACAAATGCCCGACAAATAGCCATAACACTGGAAGGAACTGAATTAAGATATTTATCTATCCCAGGGTCCAGGGAGAGGCCTAGCATTCAGGTCCAAGTCCTCAGACAGATCCCTATGTTCTCTTTTAGCTCCAGTAAACCCACTTCCCAGATATAAGTTGGCAGAGGAATGAGATGGGGTGGTATTCACAGTGCCCAGGGCCTTAAATACCAGCTTCCAGAGGTCCCTCCTCCATAGGAGCCAAAGTTGGCCCTCAGAAGCCCTACTGAGTGGCCCAATGGGACCAACCCACTTCTGAAGCAATCTCCCTGGAATTCTCCCAAAAAGAGCATGATGCTCTTTGGTGGCAGCCACACAGCCTCCCAAGGTACAAGGATGAAAGAGCAGAGGGTGGCAGAAGGCTGAGGGGAGAAATCAAAAGAAACAAGGCAGAAATAATAGAAGCACTTCCCTTCTTCGCTTTATTACCTAAGATCTCTCTCTAGACCTTCTCAGTGGCTTTGCAAAACAAAAGTTGGGGTCACCTCTCAGTGAGAATAATCATTCCACATGAATGAAAGTCAATTCCACTTCAGTGTCGGCCTTAGAAAGGCCCAAATGGGTCAAGAAGGAAAAGAGAGAGAGAAAGAATCTGAGGTAAAAACAAACATTAAAAAGAAACCCAGGGGCCGGCCCGGTGGCGCACTGCTATAGTGCGCCGCTTGGGAAGCGCGGCGGCGCTCCCGCCCAAGGGTTCGGATCCCACATACAGACCGGTTCCCGCTCACTGGCTGAGCGAGGCGTGGGAGCAACACCGAGGGTTGCGGTCCCGTTGCCGGTCCTGGTCCGGTGCGGGGGCGACACTTAGGGTTGCGATCCGTTGCCGGACATGGAAAAAGACAAAAAAAAAAAAAAAGAAACCCAGGTGTGTGAGCTCTAAGGTAGCTTATTAATGTTAAGTGAACCCGGATCATCTCTGTCAAATCTTTAGGCCTGAAACTGTAACAATCCAGTAAATAAGCACAGCTAAGGACCCTCATCACTGGCATACACTCGCTTGTGTTGTCTGGCATCACATCAACAAACACAAGACGGTAAGTTCCTTGAGGACTGAAGCTTATACTTATGCCTCTGTGGGTCTCCAGAGCTTCACACAATGCCTCGCCTCATCCCATTAGGCAGTTGTGGACATGACACCAGCTGGTCTATAAAAGAGGCTGGAGAGAGAGGTCAGCCCAACTGATGATACCAGAACCTCTCAGGCCAACTGGGAAATGGACAAACAGCAGTAAAGAAACCACTTGCCCTTGGGCCTGAGACCTGCCTCTGTCGGTCTTTGCACACTCTGTCCCCACAGTCAGGTTTCTTCTAACTGACTTTGTCCATCCAAGAACTAGATAGTTCCATTGCTACTCTTGACCCAGCCCCACTCGTGAGTGCTGAGACTCCGGACATGTCCTATTGAGACAGCAGGAGGATGGCGGAGCAGCTAAGAGGGCAGGCTTTGGAACAGACAGAGTTGGGTCTGAATGCTTCCCCACAAATTACTAGATGCGTGACCCTGGGAAAGTCACCAAGCCTCAGCTTTATCTGACTCATCTGTAACATGAGACAAATAACTGTACCTACCCACATAAGGATGTTGTGGAAGTTAAATTATATCTTCCACATAAAGCACCTAACACAGTGCCTGGTGCACAGGAAATGCTCAAGAAAGGTTAGCTGCTATTATTATTATTGTTGTTGTTATTATTATTATTATTATTATTATTATTATTCAGACCAGGAACTACACTAAGATTCTGGGAAGGATCTACAGCTTGAAGCAATTCTCCAAGACCTGAGCTCTTCTCAAGAAAAACTTGTCCACATACCCAAACCAGGTCAAATAACTTCCCAGAAAGGAAAGCCTCTATGAGAGGCAGAAAATCCAGAACCCAGCTTCCCCTAGTTCATCAGTTTTACTAAAGATTCCTTTCTGGAGCCTTCAGAAAGCAGTCCTGTATCTTGCTCACTTTCTTCATCCACTGCTCTGCCGAGCCGCACTGGGAAAGAAGTGGGGCCTGGTGATGAATAGGGGCAGGGCACAAGGAGAGCAGAGATAACCAGACTGTCAGCATCCAACTTCCGGGCCAATTAACCAGACACCAGGAGAGTAAATTTCAAAACAATAAACAGCAAAGTCTATGATTTGAGGATGCTTGAGCCTTGACCTGTGCTCTCAGTATTTCATGTAATTTTTTTTTTTTTTGGTACCCAAGAGTGGAATGACTGTATGGATTATATTACAATGTCTCTGACTTGCATTGGTAAATAAGTGTATTTTATTTCTAAGAAAGGAGCTGGAGGTTGGAGTTCTGCATATGGCACAGGGGAGATGGGGACCACCAGCATCCCTTCTCAGGATCTGGCTGCCCTGTGTGGCTGGTGAAATTGTGACTCAGCCAAAGAAAAGTCAGATAGCTGCAAGCAGCCCCTCACCCCAGATCTCTCACCAATAGCGAGAATCTCCTTGGTGAGCCTTGATCCCCATGCTAACTTGTTTGAGTGTTATTTTTTATCCCACTGACAATCCAGACCCTGACTCAAAGAAGCAAGAACATTCCTCGCACCAGAAGAATGGTGTATCTGGTCAATCAGTTGGCACTCGGGGTCTACCTCCTGTCCCCTTAACCCAGGGAACCACCCACAGAGGACCCCAAAAACCAGGAAGGGCAGTACCCTCACTCCCCTCCCCTAGAGAAAGCAGAGAGGTATGGGTCCATCAGGCAGCTGGACCTGATGTCATTTCAACTCACCCTTTGAGCTTCAGATCGTGCTCTCTTGTTCTTTCCATCGAGGGATACACAATAGAGAAACTCCCTTAGTGCCTCCTCCACCTTGCCTAGGGTGGCTAAGGCTTGGGCTTTTCTGAAGTGTGCCTAGAAGAAAACACCAGCATGAGATTCCATCATATTCACCTTATTAATGTTGCCACTATTAACAACAATAGCTAAATACTTACTGAGAATTCACTATTATGTGAAGTGTTTTAAAAGGACTCTCTTATCTTCAGCCCTATAATGTAGGCAACTGTTCTGAATCCCATTTTAAAGAAGATAAAACTGAGACCCAGAAAAATAACTTGCCCAAAGTAACACAACTGGTAAACTGTGGAATCAGGGTTTTGTCTGGAACTAATACCAAAGTCCATATTCTTAGTCACTGCAACATGCTACCTCCCCCTGCCCCATCGTTGTATGGAGGTTATCACCAAATGTAGCAAGAACCCCCATTTGACCGTATACTAACCAGCTCTCAGGTCCCACCCAGATATGCCTTCCCTTGAACTCATCTGTCAAGCAGAGATCTAGTTTATAGTGGTGGCTTGAGTGAACTAGACTTACTGATCATTTTTTGGAAAAGGCCCAAGAGACGGGACATGACCTGTCCAAGACCTCAAAGGTAGCTAATGGCAAAACTGGAACTAGAACTGTGGTCTTAGGACTCCCAGCATATTCTTCCCCACAAAGCAGACCACCCTTCAGAGGGCTAACCAGGGGCCGAGCACATGCTTTTGCTTCTGGGGGCTCAGCTCACTTCTGCTCCCTCACCACATTGTCAAAAAGTATAAAGAAGTTTTAGGGCTCCTCAGGGTCCAAGCCCAAGTGCCCTGGGGGAGATGCTCTAGGAAGAGCAGAGGCGTATCCTGGGGAAGAGGGAAGAAGAAGAAGAAAAAGGAGAGAGGGCTGCTCTCTCTTTGTGCCTTGGGACAAGTAGTCACTTGAAACTTGGAGGGCATCTCTCTTGAGTCACCTAGGCCACCCCATCCGGGGCCTGTTCCTGGCTCCCTTGCCTCCATGGCTGACACTATGTCTAACTTAGTGAATGAAATGATCCAGATTACAGGTGCTGAGCACTTCCCTGCCTCCCTTTCCAACATGCCTCTGCAGGTCCCGGAGCCTTCAGCCTCTGGCCTGGCTACAGGGGCTGGCCTGGAGCTGCCTTCTTGAACAGAGGCCCCTGCTCCAAACCTCTTGGGGAACTCTTCCCATGTCCCCACCTCCTTCTGGAGCCCAATCTTAGCTGTTATGTGAATGCTGACAGCCTCCCTTGTCCCCACCTCCTTCTGGAGCCCAATCTTAGCTGTTATGTGAATGCTGACAGCCTCCCTTGTCCCCACCTCCTTCTGGAGCCCAATCTTAGCTGTTATGTGAATGCTGACAGCCTCCCTTGTCCCCACCTCCTTCTGGAGCCCAATCTTAGCTGTTATGTGAATGCTGACAGCCTCCCTTGCTGCTCCTCACAGCAGTGTTTACCAGGGGCCTTCTGGAGAAAGGGACTTGTGTAACACTGCGAGGCAGTGAGAGAGGATGAATGTTGGGAGACTAGAGGGGCCTCTGGGATCCCACTAACTATATCAAGTAGCAGTCTATATACTCCACCTGCTCAGGGCAGCCAGCTCAACCCACTGAGAGCTGTATCACCTGCAGGGCACGTTGAGCACCCCTAAGCCCTGGCTGGATGGCTAGAATAGGGCTGTGAGGTGAACCTCCTCCCTCAAGGCATTTCACATAGAAATGGTGGGAAATATGCAAATCAGGGTGTGAGGTGGTTTTGAATTATATGCATCAGTTCAAGTCTTCTCTCAATCCCCAAGACAATAGAGTTCTCTCATCACTGCCCCCACCTTATCCAACCACTACGGGGAAATGAAACTCCTGTTTAATATTCTTCCTTCACTGGGGAAGTCACTTTTCCTATTTCATCCAAAATGCTCTACTGTTTCTCAGTCCTGCTTCTCACAGCACTATCAAGGCTGTAGACCCTAGGCCCTAGGCTTAGGATAGGAGTGGAAAAAGTTATGAAAGAAAGTCCTCTTACCCCCAGGCAGCTCCCTGACTTGCACTGCTATGCCCCCACTGAAATGCCCCCACTGAAGCTCCTTTGGGTTAAGACATTGGTGACTTTCATTAAACAGTAAATGTGTTCCTTGGGAAGAACATACTGATTCATTATCACCCATGCAAACCTTCTCATGAAAGAACACATAAGATTCACCCTCACATTAATGACAGAGTGTACAGGTCCACAATGCTTTATCTGAAGTTCCAGATCCAGAAAAATTCTGATCATCCAATATTTTCATAAGCTTGACATCAAAATTCATTAGGTAGCAAAACCTGACCTAAACTGATATAAAGTGTTTTAAAGTATTCGTCCCACTTAGTGTAAATTTTCATGTAATTTGCTGCAGAAATACTGTGTTTGATTATGGGGTGCTGTCCAGAGCTCACTGGGGGTATTACCCAACATATGGTCTTTCTAAAATTAGAAACATTCTGGGTTCTGAACACATCTGGTCCCATGGGATTCAGATAAGGGATCAGGGACCTGGACTTAGATTACTTGGTTTTCCAAGGAAGGCATCCTGGGGTTGTATAGAGAGAGCACTATATCCAGACCCAGCAAGCTTTTTAGTTTGCAGAATGTTCTCTGGGCCATGCTTACCTTTGATTCTCACCACATTCCTGTGAGGTAATCAAGGACATTCGGGGTTCAGAGAGTGAAGTCACTTCCCCACGGTCACTTAGCTTGCAAGTAGCAGAGCCCAGGCTTAAATCTAATCTTCTAAACAAAATGTTGACATGTGGCTGAGGGCCAGTCCTCAGGCCAGGCAGAGATGCAGGAAGTGATACTTTGCATCTTGGCATCCTAAGAGATGCCTACCCTATCTTTCTTCCCACCACTCCTATGTGATCTAGATGTTTGGGGATACCGGCAGGCCAACTGACTATATTAAGGACTTGAAATGGCACAATCATTGTGTTAGTGTGAGGAGCTTTTCAAAGAAAGCTGCCTAAGGTCCCAAGAAGCCTGGCTATCAGTAGCAGGTCAGGAGGGCCAGACCAGCAATACTTCTCTCACCCTCCTCTTTCTGCTGTCCCTGCAAAATGATGATACTGATGACAGAAAACACTTAAATAATGCTACATGACAGGCACTATTCTAAGCCTCTTACATATACTAGCTCATGTAATCTTCACAACAACCCTATTTAGGAGGTGCTTCGAATATACCCAATTTAAAGATTAGGAGATGAGGCACAGGGAGGTGAAGTAATTTGCCCAAGGCCACACAGCTAGTAAGAGTAGCAGAGCTGGGACATAAATCCAGGCAGTCTGGCTCCCAAGTCCATATTCTGGAGAGTCACAAAGCCCAGGCTGCTCTGCAGGTCATCAGTTGAAGATCCTCCTCCCCCATTACCTGTTGCAAACTTGGGTGTTGATTCAACATGTGGAGACTCCAGCCCACCCCTTCCTGTGCACTCCACTCAGGGCACCCTCAGATCTAGTTCCCTTGCAGACCTGATTCACCCTTTGCTAAGGGACACCGACTTCTATGCAAAGCCTTCTCCCTGCTTTGCTTGAGCTCTAGTGCCACTACCACCAGGGAGGCAGCCAATTCCTTCCTGTCAATTCCTGTCTACAGTACAACCCCTTCCCATCTCTCCAATCCCACACTCACCTTAAAACCCATTGGACGGAGCTTACATGCTATTTCTGCATCATGCAGCGCATCCTCATGAGACTCCAAGGTGAAATAAATTTGAGACCGGTTGCTATAAAGCAAGTGGTCATTTGGAGCTGCCAAAACAAGAAAAGCAAAAACAAAAATAAAAACCCGTCAGGACTTTTCTATTGGAGATCCCAAGGGTTAGGCTACATTTTCAGTCCTAATATTGCCTTGCCTTCCACACCCATTGGACGGAGCTTACATGCTATTTCTGCATCATGCAGCGCATCCTCATGAGACTCCAAGGTGAAATAAATTTGAGACCGGTTGCTATAAAGCAAGTGGTCATTTGGAGCTGCCAAAACAAGAAAAGCAAAAACAAAAATAAAAACCCGTCAGGACTTTTCTATTGGAGATCCCAAGGGTTAGGCTACATTTTCAGTCCTAATATTGCCTTGCCTTCCACCCCTCTAGCCACTCTGGATCTGAGTTTCCCCAACTGCAAAGAAGAAATTTTGCTCCCTCTCTCAAGCACTTCTTTAGAGACCCTGTGGTGTCCGTGGTTCATTAGAGACTTTGACATAGAGGAAACCATGGCAGCCTGCTTCATGCTACACAGGGCTAGCACTTGGCAGCCTGGCTTAAGTGAGGTATCACCAACAAGGGAAGAGGCCAGAGAGGAAGGAGGGGGAGGTAGCCAGATGTTACCCCTATCCTGACGACCAGGAAGACAGCCAAGTTAGTCTTCTAGGTGGGAATGACTGGTGACATTAGCAACATCTTTGTTACAAAGCCCAGCACATATGAAGCTTCCCTGAAGAAAATGCAAATGCATTTACAAGGTCCCATCCTCTCATTACAGATGGCCACATGTGAATGAACCTGAACAAGGCGTCTGGTGAGAAGGTGAGGCTGGCTCTCACCTATTCTCTGAATCATTAGATGCCAGGGCTGGACAGGCCTTTAGAGATCATCTCCCTCAACCAACCCATTCTTCAGATGGGTAAAATCAAGCCCAGAGAGGGGAAGGCATCTGCTTAAGGTCACACAGCTAGCTGGTCAGAGTCACTGATAACTGTTTAGACTTTGAAGCTGGGGTGGGGGCCAGATTCTTTTTTCTAAAGGTGGATACAGTTCTTAAAATAATGAGACATTGGTCATCTTCCAGAACAAGGATACTCTCTGTTGGGGAGGCCCTTTTCCTCTTAGAAGGGTGAAGCTGGTCTTGACAGTTTCCCCCCTGACTGCTCTGAGGGGATTAACAAAGGTGCAAAGAAGAACCTCCAGGAGAAAGTGGTGACAGCAACAGGGGAGCAGGGGGAGGGCAAGGAGGGGCTTTACTGGCCCTTGGCGTATGGCCGAAAGGAACGGAATCTTTTTTGGAGATCTGGCCTCCACCCGTTTCATATTGCCCAGCTCTTTGCCAACGACTGGGCTCCAGCTTCTTTTGTGGCAACAGGTTTTGATGGTTTCTTTTTTTCTCAGGGGTGTGCTGAGGGCTTGCTTGGGTGCCGGTTACTTGCTTTTAAGACAATACCAAAGAGTTTACGGTCCCTTCTGTCCCTTCTTTTATGCAGCACATGCCAGCCCGGTGGCAGCTGACAGTCTGCCTTGCGGGGTGTGTGGGGAGTGCCCCTCTCCCTCAGCTCCCAGCCTTGCCCCGTCAGCCCTCGTTCCTCCCCTTGCCCCATTACCTGTTGCAAGCTTGGCTGGAGATTCAACACGTGGAGCTTCCAGCCCACCCCCTCCTGCACCCATCACAGTCGGGCCCGGGACACTCTCAGATCCCAGAGCCCTCCCTGTCTGCCCAGCCCCGCTGCACCGTCCCCGGCACGCTTCGCCAGACACCGCGCCCTGCCGGCCGAGCTCCGGGCAGCCAGTCCGAGCTGGGCACTACCGGCCGGCGGTGCGGCGGCCACTTCCTGGGTCCTGGCGTGGGAGGTCGGGGAGAGCGGTTCCCTGAAGGAACTCGGGTGCCCGAGTCCAGCCGGAGGGGTGGGGCTGCCCCTGTCGCTCTCGCAGCTGCAAAGCCCACCCAACCCTCCTCGGGCAGCATCGCAAAGCAGGAAAGAGGCGTGCCCCGTTCGCAAGCAGCCCGCGCTCCCCGGGGATTCCCGAGCCGTTGCCCGGCCCGGCCCCCCGCTGGGCTGGCGGGTTTAAAGGGTTCGAGGCGAGGGCGCAGGCTGCGGGCTGGCGCGGGGGAGGGGGCATCTATTTCAGCCGAAGACCGTGTGATAGGAAGCGGTGACAATGAGTCACAGGGCAGCGGGGCGCGAGCGCTCCCCCTCCCCCCGCACACGCTGGCGGGATGGTTCCGAGGCGAGCGTGGCCCACTTTGGTTAGCTCAGCCGTTACACAATCCCGCCCGCCCGCGCGGAGGAGGGGCCGCCCGGCCCGGGCCGCTCGCGGCCCTTATGCAACCAGTGCTCTCCTGACCTAATTCCACGCCGGACCCACCCCACAGGGAGCCGCGGCCCCGGAAGGGACAACTCCCGGAGGCGGGAGCGGCGGACGCAGGCGCCGAGCGGACATCTCGGGCTGGCAAGTGCCGGGAGGAGCGGGCGCGAGTGAGGGAAGGGTGCGAAGTTCCTCTCCTGGCGGGGAAGGTGCGGGCAGGTGGAAGAGGGGGCCAGAGAAACAGAGACGGTGACACCGAGCGAGACCAAAACAGAGTGACAGAGATGCAAAGAGACGGAGAAAAAGAGAAACAGGGTGACACAGAAACAGACTGAGAGACACGGAAACGCAAAAGCGCTGAACAGTAGACGCAGAAAAAGATAAAAAAGCAACTGAGACAGAGAGAGCGAAAGAAAGCTAAAGCGGTGCAGACAGACACGAAGTCAGGGACCCAGCCCCAGAAATCCCCTCCCCCATCCCGGCCCCGGGCCACCCTCCGTCCCCGCGCCCTCCTCCTCGGCCCCGGTCCATCCCCCGTCCCTCTGCCGGGTTCATTCTCCCCTCCCCCTCGCCTCGCGACCGGCCCCGCGGCGCGGTGGGCTCACCTAGCCTAACCGCCTCATTGTACTTGAGCAGCGCCGCCTCCACCTGGCGCTCGCGGTACAGCCGGTTGCCCTCGTGCCGGAGTTGCGACGCCCGCGCTGGGCCCGGGAACAACTTGCCGAGGAGGCCGCTAAGCACCACGTTGACCCGCAGTGGCGGCGGCGCCTGCTGCCCAGCCCGCCAGGTCCCGCGCGCCCGCCCCGGGGCCACTATCAGCGCCGAGAGCTTGACCCCACACAGCGCACAGCGCCGGTCGGCAGCCCGCCCACGTTCTAGACACAGTTTACAGAAGGTGTGGCCGCACGACAAGGACACGGGGTCTGATAGAAATCCATGACACTTCCGGCACTTAAAGCCGTCCCACACCTCGGTGGCCGCGGCCGCGGCCGCCCCTGCCTCTTCCGCCGCCACCGCGGAGCTGGCAGAGCTGTCCCCGTCCGGGGGCACCGGCGCCAGCGCCTCCCCTTGTGGGATGTTCTCCGCCAGGCAGCGCACCAGCTGCTCCAGCTGTTCGGCCACCAGCTGCTGCCGCTCTGAGAGCTGTCTGTACACTTCGAGGGCTTCCCGGAGGCGCCCCCCGGACGCCAAGGCGTCGGCCTGAGTGAGCAGGACTTTGCACTCCGGCATCGGGGTTCTGGGAAGCTGCTCTTGCTCCGGCTCTCGCGTCGGTAGTGGTGCGGTGCCCTCTGTAGACGCCTCCGGGAGGCGGCCGGTGTCTACGCGGGCCGCTGATGCCGCCCGCTCCGCCGGCTCTGCCAGCTCTAAGTTGCTGCTGCCGAGCTGGGCGGGCAAGCTCAGCATCTGTTCGGTCTGAAACGAATCCATATTGACAGGGACACGTGCGGGGAAGAGGCGTCTAGGGACCGGGGACACGGAGCATGGAGGGGCGGCTGGAGGGAATTCGGGCTGCCACGGCCGCCGTGCCTCCGCACGCCGGGCCCTGCCGCGCCTCCGCGAGCTCCATGCCGGCCGCCCCGCGCCGCCTAATAACTGTCTTGTCTCAGCGAAGTGTTATATAAAAGGGCACCACGTGACGCGCCGCCACGCTGCTCATTGGCCGGCGGCGGGGAAATTGTTACAAAACCAGACAGTTTTGTAACAGTGTTGCGCTTGCTTCTCTTGGCTTCGCATTTCTTGGCTTCTTTTTGAGGTTGTTTGTGTTTACACTCCGCCTTATTCCCCCCCCCCCCC